TATGCGTTTTAAGTGCTTGAATCCTTCTTGTGGCTTCGTTACAAATGGATGCACGCTGAATGGCAGGTGCAAATTCTGAATGGATCTATTCTCCGATCATTTTTAAAGATTGAACTGGATTTCACCGTTTTGTTCTTTCACGGGATGTTGACTGTTGTCCAACATTTGTGTACTTGAGGCTCCTTTGTCTCAGGATCTGCTTGTAAATACGGCTTTGTGATTTTCGGAATCTCTCGTTCAAACAGCTGTGTCCCCTGCACACTTGACTTGGCCACAGAAGCTGGTTTAATAGCAGCTGAAAAGGGCAGAACGACTTATACATTTGGGGTGCTTTTATGCCAGTTACCGGGGGCAAAATTCTTGTGAAATCAACGGATCTTCAGTCGCAGCAGATTTGCACTTTGTCATTTTCCAATGGGGCTACGTTGCGGCTGGACTTGCTTGATCACACACCGTGCTTTGCACACTTAAGGCCTGGATAAGCTCCTACAGCATCGTTGGGTAAGTGGGGGAATATTCTCTGCCTGTAGGAGAAATGCTTACAAAAAGTAAAAGGTGGCAAATGAGAACAAATGCCTTTCGTCAGGGCAACTATCAAACAGTTACGCCTAGCTTGCTATGAAATTAGTGGGTGGCTTTTTTTAAATAAGCTTCCAATCCAGACACTTCCCTTAATAATTGCTCGTTTGAAAAATATGTATTTCTGATTTCTCCGACGGTGAAAATGGCTTTAGTTTTGACTACTGTATTGCATTTGCAAATTATGAAGAAGAAGGAAAAAAGGGTTGGGCGAAGGGAAGGTGTCAATTCTGGCCTTCCATCAACTGTTTGTAGAGGCGTTAACTGCATAGAAAGAGGCCATGCATTCAAATTTGGGAAGATCTTCTCATTTTTGTGTTGAAATAAATATTTGCATCTCATCAAAATTAAATTTTTCTTGCAAATTATTCACGGCAGCAGTGTGCTCCTTAGAAAGTCTCTTCGTGCCCGGATCACAGATTCATTAACTATCCGAAAGAGACATTATTATTTGCACAATATACAGAATTAAATGCTAAAGTGATAACGTTTTTTTCCCCCTTTTCTCTCATTGGTGTATCTGCTTCAGACGTGGCGATGACCGGTATGGACATGACATCCATGTGTAACCAGGGTTTGCGGGGGTTTTCTTGGGGGGGACATGTCAACTGATCTATGAAATAGACAAATATATATTTTTTGAAATTAAAAATAATGTAAATTATGTAGCTTTTAATTGATCACTCCAACGGTCCATGGGTCTGAAACCACCCTGTCCAATAGGCGCTGTCTATAGAAGCTTCGATTTTTGTGGTTGTTCTTTGATGGTGGTTTTTTTTTTTTTACAGTTTCCAAGGAAGCGAATAGGCTTTTTAAAAATTTTAAAGCTGAATCCTGTACTTAAAATGGATAAAGGATATATAGATATATAGTTATATAGATATAAGAATAGCACTAAAATACCTCAACTCTTTCATTTGGTAGAAAAGATCTATTGGCGTTGCTGACATTTTGATAAGCTTGGTGATAAAACTGATCTTCTTGATCTCTTCCCCTGGCCCACTGCCTCTGGTTTTACATGAGATGGAATTCTGCAGCAGGGGAAAAAATATGCTCAGGAGTTGAACTTTGAAAGCAAAGCGCGCTCATTTTGTCTTTCCACGGCTCAGAAAAAAATAAAAAATCAACCCCAAACCCAGAGCCCTCAATTGGGCGATTTGAATCTCCATCCCCAACGCAGGCAGCCGGGTGGAGGCTGAGAGAACTGAGAAAATTGTACGAATTATTCCTGTTAATGTCTGTGCGTGCCCCATTGGAACAGCTGGGGAGGGAAGGGGAGGGGTGGGGGTGGGGTGGGGGGAATGATAACATAGACCAGATATGCAGAATTGTACAACGGGGTCTAGGTTGTGCTTTGTGTTTTCTTTCGAAGTGCCTAATGACACAAATAGGCCCTTCGGTAGCGCAGCTTCTTAACGCTTGGACCCCGTGGGAGGGTTTAGCGTTGGAGACCCAGCTGTTCGGGGGGGGCGGGGGGCGGGTTGGGAAGGTCTCCTGTCTCTTCAGTCCAGGTCCCAGATCCAGCTTCTTGGCCTGCCTTTCTTGGGACGCAGTTCCAGCAGCTGGTTTTGATTGCGTATCCTAAGTGGTGGGAAATAACTGAGATTTGGCATCACAGTGACTGGGAATTCTCATGTGAACAGCAGAGTCCTCCGCCAGGCCTGCGGAGTGTGTGTGGGTGTGTGTGTGTGTGTGAAATTGTGCAGCCCCCACCGTATCCCAACATTAGTCAGAAACATAGCTTCCTAGCTTACATTCTGGTCATTTGTCCCTCGAAAAGCAGGTAGACATAATACTAGCAAGGTAAATGAACTGACTTGGATTCTAGATGGAAGCTATACGAGCAGGCAGGTTGTTTTATATATATATATATACTGTTCGTTTCTGAAATTCATAACATTTTGGGGAAGAATTGTTAAAACATTCCAAAGGGGAAAAAAAAGTGCAGGCACTTTAAGAACAACCAATAACGAGGCAGCCTAAGAATTACTGGCTTGATGGGTGGGTGGGAGACGGGTGCCACAAGGGGCGAGCTTTCTTCCCCCCGAAACATGGATATTTCTTCATACGGTATCTCAAGGCCCGCTAGCAAGGTGTAAAGAATTTGGCGGGTTTCATTTTTTTCCCTCCTTTTTCATTTTTTTTTAAACACCTAATCGTTTTCCCTACCCCACCCCCACATCTCCAATGATTTTGTGTGTGTTGTACAGCAATATAATTTTTTTCCACTTATTTATTCCATCGGTAGCTATGGTTTGTACAATGTACAATGATTTCGTTTAGAAAAATAAAAAAAAACTTCAAATTCCGACACTGCAGCGTGTGACGCTTTTTCATTACGACCGTGGTCGGGTTCGCTTCCGGCGTCGAGCTTGGGAAAAAGTGGGCTCCCTTTTGGGGGCGGAGTTTCCCCCCTCCCTCCGTGGGTCAGAGTTTTCTCGTGATCATTTATTTAATTATATTTGGGGTGGGGGGGACTTTCTGCAAAATTTCTGCCCTTGAATAATCGTAAATCCTTTTGTGAGGTTTAGAAACCGGCCATTGCTCCCCGTGACCATTCCACCGAAATAAGAGTTGTGTGTGAAATATCTTGCTCTGCTTTGCTCTTAAACCTGTAGAATTTGGGGGGCCTGGGGAGGTGGCCTTGCAGGAGGGTTGCTTGCCTGGAAACCTGGGCAGGGCCCCCTTTTTGCACAGCAGGACTTGAGGCAAAATGGGGAGTGTAGAAAAGGAGGGAGCACCCCCCCCCCCAATGCTTTGATATGGGTTCTCTCAGTACGTATTGCATTGGAAATAAAAAAAATTGGCCAATGTTTAATAAAAATCACTTTTGGGGGGGCCTCGCAGAGTCTTGGGTGTCCCCAGGGCCACATTTTGCAAACCGCTGCTTTAGTCAACCTAGAGAACCAGCTGAGATTGAGGGGCTTCACAGCTAAAGAATCCTCCAGAGCGGAAAAGCTTTCGCTCGGCAGCCCCCTCCTCAGTTTTCAGGGGGTCCAGGGGGACCCCGAGCTGGGCTGCAGAGAGGTTGAGACGGAGGTTATGGGGGTCCTTTATTTGCCCAATGGGGGAGGCTGGTCTTTTGGGGTGGGGGGCTTTGCCTCCAAGTCTGGCCCCTGCAGGGGAGTCTGAAGAGCCCGAAATGGATCCCTTGTGTGGCACTCTGTGTGCGTGTGTGTGTGCATGTGTTTTGAATCTATCTCACCGTGTCTATGTGTATATTTGTGTTTTGTGTATCTATATTACTATGTCTATGTGTGAGTTTATATGTTTTTGTGTCTATCTCTGTGTTTTGTATCTGTATATCTGTTTTGTATCTATCTTTGCTTGTGTCTGTGTGTATATGTGTATCTGTTTTGTGTATCTGTGTGTGTGTTTATCTCTGCGTGTTTGTTTGTGCCTCTGTGTATATCTGTCTTTTGCATCTGTGTGTGTGTGTATGTGTGTGTGTATCTATATATATCTATATCTGTGTGTTTTGTGTTTGTATATCTATTTTGTATCTATCTCTGCTTGTGTCTGTGTATGTTTGTGCCTCTGTGTATATCTGTCTTTTGCATCTCTGTGTGTGCATCTGTTTTGTATCTATCTCTGTGTTGGTGTGTATTTTTTTCTGTGTTTTGTGTAGCTTTGTGTGTGTGTATCTCTGTCTCTGCATCTGCCATCATCAGGCTTCTGTATTGTGTCCGTCTGTGAGTCAGACTTTTACAGCTGTTTTTGTAAACACACAGATATGTATATCTCTGGGTGTTTTGTATCTGTGTGTATTTGTGTGTGTCTGTTTTGTGTATCTGTGTCTATGCCTCTTTTGTGTCGATCTCGGGTGTGTGTGTGTGTGTGTGTGTGTGTGTGGTGTCTGTGTTTGCGCGCTTGTGCCTCTTTCTCTCTGCCCGGGCGGGATTGCGCGCACCCTCCCGAGGGGCTCAGGATGCGTGGCATGGGCGAGGGGGCGGGGCCGAAGGGGGGCGGGGCGGGGCGGGAGGACGTCGGGGGCGGGGCGCGGGGGCCCAGGCCCCGCCCACCCGCGAGGGCAGCAGCGGCGGCGGCGGCGGCTGAGGGGCGGCGATGGCCTCCGGCGTGTCTCTTCGGGCCGGGCCGGCGGCTCCCCTTCCCCGGCGACCCGCGGCGCCCCGGCCGTCCTCGCCCTCGTCGTCGTCGTCGGGCGGCAGCGAGGAGGACGAGGCGGCGGCGGGGGCGGCGGCGGCGGGGGGCGGCGGGCAGGGGGCTCCGGGCGGGGGCCGCTCCTGCTGGGGCTCCCGGGGCGCCCAGATCATCCACTCGGGCCACTTCATGGTCTCGTCGCCTCACAGCGAGCACCCGCCCAAGAAGGGCTACGACTTCGACACCGTCAACGAGCAGACCTGCCAGACCTACCGCTTCGGCGCCTGGGCCCGCCGGGAGGCCGCGGCCGGGGGGGGGGGCGGCGGCGGCGGGAGGGGCCCGGGACGGCCGCCTCAGCATCGACGCCTCGCTCACCAAGCTCTTCGAGTGCATGAGCCTGGCCTACAGGTGGGGAGGGGGCGCTGACGGGGGGGAGGGGCTGCTCCGGGGGAGGGGGAGGGGAGGCAGGAGGGGCTGGTTAGAGAGGCAGGGGGATGAGGGGCTTTGGAGTACCCAGAAGTGAGGAGGGGTGGATTTGGGGAGGGGGAGAGAGGCAGGAGGGAGGGGAGAGAGGTCAGGGGGGCAGGGAGAACCCCGGGAGGGGGATGAGGGGCTTTGGAGTACCCAGAGGGGAGGAGGGGTGGATCTGGGGAGGGGGAGAGAGGCAGGAGGGAGGGGACAGAGGTCGGGGGGCGCAGGGAGAACCCCGGGAGGGGGATGAGGGGCTTTGGAGTAGCAACAGCTGGTGGGGGGGGCGGGGAGATGAGACAGGAGGGGTTGGTTAGGGAGGGGTCAGATCACACGGAGAAGGGGATTCTGGGAGGGGGATGAGGGGCTTTGGAGTAGCAAGGGGTGAGGTGGGGCGGATTTGGGGAGGGGGAGGCGAGGCAGGGGACAGAGAGCAGGCAGGCAAGGGGGAGGGGGCCCTTTGGAGCAGGGAGGGAGGGCTGAGGGATTTGGGGAGGGGGATGAGGGTCTCGGGGAAGAGGAGGGGAGGACAAGGGGTAAAAGGAGTTCCTGGGGAGGGGGAGGGGGCTGCAAAAGGCCCAGGGGTCAGAACTGGGCAGCAGCTGCTGGGACCTAGCAAAGAAAGTACCTGGGAATTTTGGGGCTCCTTGGAGGAGAGTCACCCCCAGATAAATCGGTAGCAACAACCACAACACCCTTTCCAGCCCCGATTGAGGGGCAGCTTCCCCCCCCCCCAATAATTATGGGATGGTAGAACTCTGCCACGGTGAGCCAGTGCCAGCCTGTTTCTGAGCGCCCCAAATGAGGCCATGTGACTCAGGTGTGTGCAGCTGTCAGAACTGGGTCGTAAGAAGCTTTGGAGGGGAGTGTTTTGTTATAACTTTGAACAGTCGCTAAGCGAGGACTACTTGCATTGCTGAAACAAAGAACAGGACTTGAAACTGGCACCTGGTGGCTCTTTTTCCCCTTTGGGGGGGGTTCGTTTTTTAACATTTCTGGGTTTTTTTTGCTTTTAAACTTCTTTCCGTTCCTTCTGCCTTGGGAGTTGCCTGTTTACTAGCTTGTTGTTTAAGGACGGGCTTATATTTTAAGTTGCATTTACGATCATCCCAAACAAAGCATTGGCATGCGCTAAAAAACAACAACAACTCCTCTTTGCATCATAATCGTACCTGTAAAATGCAAGGCAACAATTACAAACCGAAGTCTTGTTTTCTTTTTATTAAAAAAAATAAAAATAAATGGGGCTGGATCTGTGGTTGCCACAGGGCTGCCTGAAGTCATGTCTGTTTTCACCCAGTCACAGCTGTTAAGTACAGTTTTCCGCTCTGGTTTGAAGCGGATCCCATATTAGGAAGTGCAGTTCTCAGAACGGGCTTTAAAAGCGTATTATTTATAAGGTGGGATTCATCCCCAGAGGAGCGATTTGGCAAGGAACATTTTACGCTTCAGCGATTTCTTTGCAGGCTGGTTTGCTTTTGTGAGTCGGGGTGAGAAAATAGGATGAAAGCATCGTTGGAGGGAGAAGTTTGCTGGATCAGACCCAGAAGCCAGTTTGGGGTTTGTTCCTCCTGTGGCTACTGAGAACAAATATTTACAGCAGTTTGTTTAGTGACCGAAGTTGCAGTGGCACAGGAAAAAGTGAATTATGACCATTGTTATTCAGATTCAGGTAGTCAGAGTCGGCAGGGACCTTGTAGGTCATCTAGTCCAACCCCACCACCCAAGCGGGAGGCCCTACACCATTTCTGACAGACGGCAGTCCAATCTCTTCTTGAAGGTCTCAAGGGATGGCGCTCCCACAACTTCCCACAATTACCCTTAGGGCAGCGTCCCCATGATGATGTGGTTTATATTCGGCTGTTTGGGACCTGGTTCGTACTTACGACGGTCGCAGCATCCCCTGATCCCTTTTGCGACCTCCTGAGGAAGCCAGATTCACTTAGCAACGCCATTACTAATTTAACAAATGCAACGATTCACTTAACTCTGGCAAGAAGCGCCATGCAACGGGGTCAAATTCAGCTGCAGGAATTTTGGTGTTCGTATGTTGAGGGTTCCCTGTCTTGCAAACGGTGAGCGCAAGGATTTTGCAAAAGTCGGTCTGTTCGGTTATTACAGGGAGGGGGAAAGTTTTCCCTCTTGGACACATGAATCACCGCCCGGTGGGGAGGTTAGGTCGGTTCAGGACAGGTGAAAAACGCAACACGGGATGTGATTGTAGTTTTTATTTATCTTACATTCAATTTATCTGCTGTCCAATCTCTGCTAGAAGCAACTCTAGAGGGGTGACCATTAGCCTGATTCGCCTTCTGCGTGGTTATATTTTCATATATTTAATATTTGTCGCTTACTGGAGATCACCTGTTTCTGCAGATTGTTCTCTCTCTCTTTTCCCCTTTCTCCTGCCCTCTTTCCCTTTATCTCTCCTTCCCTCTCCCTCCCATTCCTCTCCCCCTCTTTCCCTCTCTTTTTCTCTCCCCCACATTCTCCTTCCTTCCTTCCCTCTCTCCCTCTCCCTCCTCATTCCTCCCTCCCTCTTTCCGTCTCGTTTTCTGTCCTTCCCTCCATCCCTCTCCCTCCCATTCCTCTCCCCCTTTCTCTCTTTTTCTCTCCCTTCTCCTTCCTTCCTCCCCTCTCTCCCTCTCCCTCCCATTCCTCCCTCACTCTTTCCCTATTTTTCTCTTCCTTCCTTCCTTCCTTCCTTCCTTCCTTCCTTCCTTCCTTCCTTCCTCCCTCCCTCCCTCCCTCCCTCCCTCCCTCTCCCTCCCTCCCTCCCTCGGAAGGCTGTGCTGCTTTTAAGCTGGCCAAGTGAGATCTTTCAGGAGATAAGGTGTGTGAATGCTTTCTGGGGAGGAGGAACAATGCCGGGCCCCGTGAGGTGTGACCTCCAATTCCCGACCTTTGTTTTGTGTCACTAATGTACTTCCCAGCGAAAGCTCTTTTCCTGCTGGCGGCCCACTTCGTTTCCTGTTTATAGAAAGGGTTTTTTTGGCCTGTTGTGCAATACGAGGCCCTGCTGGGTCGCTGTAGCCGATTCCTACTAGAACTGGAGTAAGGCTCATTTCACTTGCGCGTCTGTTTCATTTTAAACACAGGCACAGCCCAGGGTTAAAACGGTTGAGAAATATTGCCTGGAAAGGCCGACCCGCCTGCAAGCAGGGCTGCCTTTAACCTCTTTGTTGATGTAGAAAAATGCAGTTCTGGACGGGCTGAAAGTAGGTGCCACACCTTATAGCAAACAGGCCAGGAGAGCCGGTGAGCTTATTTTGTCCTTGCTGTGAATAAACAAAAGTGCGAAAGAGTTCAGGTGCTTTCGCGGCTTCCCACGTGGGGAAAAACACCTGGGCGTTCAGGTCAGAATGAAAACAGATTTTTTAAAAAATCGCTTTCTTCCTTTCCTTCTCCCTCATTGGACTTGGATCCCTTGAATTTGGAGGAGCCTCTGATCCCTGTTGTACGCCCCCCCCTCCCCTTCCTCTGGGGTGTGGTACGAAAGGAAATCAGCATGGCCTGTTTAGGCTGGGGTGGAGGGTTGGACTGGATGACCTACAAGGTCCCTTCCAACTCTCGGTTGATCTGTAAATCTCTGCCCTTCCGTCTGCTTTGCTCTGTTTCTCATTTCCACACCCAAGTGGCCTTTTTTTGGCATTGGGGAGGGTTGGGGGGAAAAACCCCCCACCAGGGAGGGAAAATGCTGTCTTTCATCCAGTTATATGCCCTTTGTTTAGAAGACGAGGGAGAGATTTGGCTCAAATTGTCGAGCTTGTCAACTCTTCTGCGTTGCAGGATAAGAAAAGTGCCCCTTGATAAGACGGGCCACTCCAAAGTATTAAGTGGAGGCTGTTTGAACTATCATCGCTGGATGCTGTGCAAAAAAACGCCTGCGGTTTAGATAGCTCCCTGGCACCTGGTGGGCCGGGCCAGGCCGGCCTGGCTTCTTGGTAAGCCACTCAGGGCTTGGTCTCCTGCTGATAAGGGCCAGCCAGGAATCTGGGGTTTGTCCTACAGTGGATGCCTGACGGGGTGGGTCAGAGGCCGTCCCTTCGCCTCCGAACACAAGTGGGATCTTTCAGCAGAGATCCGTCGCTGGAGGAGACACTGAACAGACCAGACAGCCGTTGGTCGGATTGGTATAGGGTGAGGGTCTCCCACCTTGGCCCCTTTAAGGCTTGTGGGCTTCCAACTCCCAGAATTCTGAGAGTTGAAGTCCGCAAGTCTTAAGAGTGGCCAAGGTTGGAGACCCCTGGGATAGGGTCTTGTTTGGGCAGTGGGTTGGGCTGGAAGACCCCCAAGGTGTTTTCCAACTCAGAGAGAGGAGAGGGAGGGAGGGAGGGAGGAGGAGAGGTGGAGAGAGGAAGATGGAGTGGGGGAGAGAGAGACCGAGGGGGGAGAGAGAGAGAGGCGAGTGGGGGACAGAGATGGGGAGGGAGAGGAGGGGGAGGGATGGAGAGGGGGAGGGAGAGCAAGAGAGCAAGAGATATGGATGGATGGATAGATAGATGATAGAGATTAGAGAGAGGGGGGGATGGATGGATGGATAGATAGATAGATGATAGATAGATGATAGATAGAAGATAGATAGATGATAGATAGATAGATAGATAGATAGATAGATAGATAGATAGATAGATAGATAGATAGATCGATCTAAGGATTTTGTCTCTGGTACATAACCTCTCAGTGTACATGCAAAACAGCAAAGCAATAATAATCATAACAAGGACACCAATAAGAAAAGGTAGAAGAACAGATGAGATATGTGAATAGAAATTAATTAACTTCTGCTTTAACATATTAATTAAGTAATTAAGTAATTGAGGTCTGTTAAAGCAGAGCGGGGCAACTGTGGCACCCATTACAACCCGCGGACTTCAACTCCCAGAATTTCTGGCTGAGGGATTCTGGGAGTTGAAGTCCACAGGTCATAAGGGGTGGGCTTTAACACTGGATAAAGACAGGGGAGAAACCAGTGGAGGGATGGCTTGGAGCCCCCTCTCTTCATTCATTGCCACCCTATTACTGGCTTCTTGGTCAACCCAGAGAGACTTTGCGGCAGTGTGTGAGAGGTGAGCTGCTGCTTTTCCCGACCATTTGAACCAGATCCTCCCTTGCCTTTGATGTATTTATAGGCCGTCGGCTTGCATAGAGGACCTGACGTAACCCCGCAGTGGCAGAAACCGGTTTCAGGTTCCTCCACCTGTCGTATGTCAGAAACCTCTCCTCGGTCACGAAGCCGCCGGCCTTCCCCAGCTTCCTTTCCTCCCGTCGGAGAGGGTCGACTAATGAAAAATCGGGCCGTGATTGTTTTGCAGAACTGCCCACACCAGCCCTCTTCGAATGTGGAATCCACCCGGAATTGCCACAAACCCTGAATGTTAAACCTAAAAGGGCTTGGACGATTCGTCTCTTGCTGCTAAATCTTGCCCACGATTTACTTGGTTTCCCAGGAACTCGGTGGTCGCAAACTTTATGTGGGAACAATTGTAAGCCCCATCCAGGGCTCCTTCTCCACCTTCCAACTCCCTCCTGGCCCTCCGATCTGATTTCCTTTGCTCAGAATGGCCTGGAGGGGGCTGGACTAGAAGACCTTCAGAGGCCCTTTTCGCCTTTTCACTGATGAAACGTTTGCTTGAAGAAAGGTGGCTTAGTCTTGGATTCGTACGTCTGCTTCCCCGGAAAAGAAATTAGGCTTCTCTTAATCTGCATGGTGGCTAAGAGACGCTGAGCTTGTCGATCAGAAAAAGTCGGCGGTTCGAATCCCCAGCGCCGCGTCACGGAGTGAGCTCCCGTTCCTTGTCCCAGCTTCTGCCAACCTAACAGTTCAAAAGCACGTAGAAAAATGCAAGTAGAAAAATAGGGACCTCTTTGGTGGGAAGGGAACAGCGTTTTGTGCGCCTTTGAAGGCGTTTAGTCCTGCCGGCCACACGACCACGGAGACGTCTTCGCAGAGCGCTGGCTCTTCTTCGGCTTTGTGACGGAGATGAGCAGCGCCCCCTAGAGCCGGAAACGACTACCACACAAGTGCGAGGGGAACCTTTACCCGTACACAGTAACCTAGGAGGAACTGTAAATAGGAGCCAAAAATATATTGCTTATTTTGGGTATGGAGACCACGCACTGGTTTTAGTTTAGGCCTTGACCCTGGGAAAGATTTCTAGCAAGTGGTGTTTACCATCCAGGAGGAAAGGGAAGGCGCGTAGCTTTTGAAGTAAAAAAATTGGGACCCTGGCAGTCAGTTTTCTTTTCGTGCGTTGCCCGTTTTCCAAAGCCGAGCCCGGACTGAGCAACCCCTGGATAGGACCCCTATTCCACCCTGCAAGCTTCAAAGGAGATTTTATGCCCGAATGATGGAACAGAAGTGGAGGCAGCTGTCGCGCCCGCCCTGTCTAGACTTAAACCCCGTCACGCCTGTGAGTCCTTACAGGATTATTTCAGGGATAATGTCATTAAAGAGAGGAGCAGGCGGGCGAAGGAGCTGACAGCCGAACCCAGAAGAGAGCAGTGGGGTGGGGTTAGTTGGGGGGGCTGCTGAACTGGGAGACAGCCAAGAAACCCAAACCAGGAAGGTTGAATGGGAAGTGGGAATTGATGGGGTCCGTCGGGTAGGAGAAGGAGGGACGTTACGGCCTTTCCCAAACGTGCACATTCCCACCTTGGGGAACATCCAGCTCAGAATTCCTTTGGCCATGTTACCTGGAGAATTTGGGGGGTTGCTTTTCCAGCCTACCTGCTGAACAAAAGCTTGGAAAGAGAAGTACCTTCCTGATTTTTCAGGACCTGGAACAGGGTTTCGCCCCCCTGGGCAGCTTTAAAAGGTGTGGACTTCAACTCCCAGAATTCCCCAGCCAGCTTGCTTGGAGTTTGAAGTCCCCCCATGCTGGCTAGAGAATTCTGGGAGTTGAAGTCCACACCAAGGCTCTTGCGAAGGGTGAGAAACCATCCTTTGGCTCAAATCAAAATAATCTGAAAATAATTGCTGTCCACATTTGAACAACTCGGTAGCACAATTCTTTTTCTTGATGGAAGCTGCAGGGTTTTTTTTTTTTTTCATTTCCAAACCATAAATGCTTATTTTCCCCCCCCTTAGAACAGGCTCAAGCTTCGGAATACCTCCCAATGGTTGAAGAAAATGCGACTTAATTCCAGAAAGCAATCATCTCTGGGTGTTCCAAAAGTGGGGAACTTTTAAACCTTTCTTTCAAAGGTTTAGGGAGGGCAGACTTCAGAGCTAGTGACTCGTCTTTGTCTTCATGCAAATCTGTTCTGTTTTGTTACAGCGGGACCTTGGTTTCCCCCAAGTGGAAGAATTTCAAAGGGCTGAAGTTATTGTGTCGAGACAAAATACGACTCAACAATGCCATCTGGAGGGCTTGGTACATCCAGTGTGAGTAAGGCGCAACGTCGTCCCGGGAGAGCTCTTAAAACGAGCCGCCTCCGTGTCCCGGTTAGGGCCAGAAGGAGTCCAGTTATTTCCAAACCGCTGTCGTTTTGGAAGGGAAGGGAATTTTTAAACCTGGTTTTGCAAACAGCAAAGGGGAGGACTGGTAAAAAGGAACTAAATCTTAATCTGTGGTCGGAACCCTGGGAAGAATTTGTAGGAAAGGAAAACAGTCTCCCTCAGTTGATCAGAAGGAGAAGCGATCTCCCGGTCTGTTTTTGCTTGGATTCCAGGAGAATTGTAGTTGGCCTCTCTTTCTGACTCACTTCCTTCCCTGGGCATAATCTTTTTGGTCCTGGGTTGCTTTTTGTGGAAGTTTTATTCTTGTTCTAATATTGTTTTTAAAAAAATGACTAGGAGAGGCGTGCGTTATTAAATCCTATGGAAGAGAATGCCTGAAGTTGGAAATATCAAACGTGCCCACCAGGACCCCACCTGGAAAAATCCTCTTGCTCTCTTTCAGATCTAGAGAAGAGGAAGAACCCCGTGTGCAATTTTGTGACCCCTCTGGATGGTTCTGTGGATGTTCCTCAGGTAGACCAGGTGGGCACATGGGAGCCACTTGTCCCGATCTCCCTCCTTCTGAACCAGTGGGGTGCTCAGGTTCATGGCCTTTAGTGGCTTCCTTCCTGAGACTCTGCCATTTGGGATTTCTGGGTGGGGGGAGTTTGTGGGGAGACATCCATGGACGATGCAAGTGATCTTAGACTTCCACCTTAAGCTGGTAAAGAATTGAGCTGGTTGCATTTGGTTGTGTTGAGTTGAGTTGAGTTGGTTGCATTGGGTTGAGTGGATTGGGTTGAGCTGGTTGCATTTGATTGGGTTGGGTTGAGTTGAGTTGGTTGCGTTCGGTTGGGTTGAGTAGGTTCTGTTTGAGTTGAGTTGACTTATCTGAAATTACTTTGATATCTCCTGTTCCTACCATATTTCTTCTTTTCCTTTTAGGGTAGCAGAACAAATGAGAAATATTGGAGGAGGCGTATTGACATAGTCATCCGAGAATATCACAAGTGGCGAACGTACTTCAAGAAAAGAGTATGTCTTCTTTAGTTTTTGAACGGTTGACATTTTGGGTAAAAATAATTCCGTTTTGCCAGGGAGTTGCCTTCTGAGCTCAGCTCGTCAAGGAGTTGAACAGAGTTGGAAAACTTTACTCTTTGCAACAATACAAGCTGACCTTCTGACATAGCATCTTCTAACTTTCCCCTGTCTGCTGGGTTGGGACTTCACATTGTCGAATTCCCAGCTAGAGGCCACACTAACTGAATCGATTCTCTTGTCAAACAAACAGGCCAGGCTCAAATCAGGCAGCTTAATCAAACAGCGGATAATATAATAGAGTAATATTTTGGGAGGAAGGGTCTTCGAGGCCCGAGAATAGCTGGTCTTGTTTTGTATCTGGTCTGCATAAATTTGGGGTATCGGCTGTGGCTGGTAGCCCTGTGCTAAATCAATTGGGATTCTATGAAATGGATGTTTTGAATTCTGTTCCAGGTTGGAAAATTTCAACCTCCGTTCCTTCCTTCTCTTCTTTTAGTTTTGGTTTCATTTTCAATTATTTCCATTTCCTTCTTTTGTTTTCCAGTTACAAAAGCACAAAGATGAAGACCTATCCAGTTTGGTCCAGGTAAACATTATTTTGGCTATCGCTTTTTCGGTTCAACCTCCCTAAGTGTTTCAATGAGCGTAAGACTGGGAAAAAAAAGCCCAGCTTTTATCTCTAATGGATTGAATACAGGATCTGCTCCTCCTGAATGCTCAGGTAGAGCACTCTGGAAGCTGGAGGTTTTATAAAAGAGCCAAATTGGAGGGAGGAGGGAGGATGAAGTCTACCGTAATGAGCAAAAGAATCCAGTAAACCTCTTTATTGTTTGAGTGGAACACTTAATGCTTTTCTTTTGACTCTTGGCTGGTTCTCTTTTCCGTTCCAATGGGTAGCCAGGATGTTCATGATTTTAAGTCTATTCCTTTTTTAATTTGAATTTTACACAGTTAAAAAACAACGCAGATATAAAATAACAGAACACAAATACAATTTTTGCAGTGTTGTGACATCTACTTCCTTTGTTTTGTTAACTATCTACTATATATGTATATATATATATTTGTTTATTTATACTGTTTTTCTTTTATTCTTACTATCCTATCATCTGACCAATCATACCATTTTTTCCAGACTCTATAGTATTCCTTCTCTTCCCTTTCTTGTAATTCAAACGTGAGTTTTGCCGTTTCCGCACAATCCATAGTTTTCTTTAAGATCATGTTGTCAAACTGTCTAGTTTCCAGCTTTGAGCATCAATTATTCTTGTTGCAGTTAGGATGTGTACAATGAGGTATTCGATTTCTTTTTAAAATGTCCCTCTAATTATCCCCGGCAAAAAAACACTTCAGGCTTACATTCTATTTGGGATCCATTAATTTCTTGCAGCCATGTTCTAATTTAACTCGACTCCTAAGTAGGTATCCAAGCCATGTGTCTTGGATACCTTGGCAATTTTTAAGACTTGTGGATTTCAACTCCCAGGATTCCTGACCGGGGAGGATTCGGTGCTAGCTGGGGAATGCTGGGAGTTGAAGCCCACAAGTCTTAAAGTTGGACGCTCCTGTTTTAAAAGATCAAAACCAAACTTAGCCCTGGAATTCGTTTTCAGTCTCCTTTCTCTCCTCCGAGGAGCCGCGACTGTCCCCCGTCCTGCAGGACCCCCCCCTCCCAGTTCCTCCAATTCCCCTTTTCCTGTCCTTTCACCTCCCTCTCACCCCGCAGGACGATGGCTTCTTCAAGAAAGACAGCCCCATGGAACTGGAAGAGTTCTTCACCACGGACGATTACATGTCGGGATCTTCAGATACCCTCTTCTCCACCCTGTCTAGTCACCAGCTGGTCACCTGGCCAAGTTCGAAGGAGAGAGGTAGAGCTTTGCTAGTGGCTGCCAGTCCCAAAGGCGTTTTTATTCGGGAGGCAACTGGACTTCCCTGTTTGTTTTTCCTTCGACATTTTGCTTCTCATCCAAGAAGCTTCTTCAGCTCTGGGAAGGGAAGGGTTAATATTCCTTGCAGGCAGCTGGTCCTCTGCATCTTTTGAGATAGGGTCGTTGAGGCCACTTGGAGATGAACCTCCAAGTGGCCCCCGAGGATTCTCTAAAAGGATGCAAATGACCCCCAATCCTCAAAAATTGTCACAAAATATCTCCCCAAGCCTACATAGATCATTCTCAATTTACACCAGTTTGTTTAGTGACCCCTGAAGTTATAATGGCACTGACAAAAAGATGGTTTTCATACGTTGGCCCTGCTCCCTTCATGCGCCACACATCTGTGTTTTGGTTTTTCACATGTTTCTAGCGCACCTGGGCAATGCCGACATGATTCAGCCGGGACTTTACCCTCTGCAGCCCAACTGGATGGACACTTGGGAGTTTTTCTCAGGTAAGCGCGAACGGTTCTGATTCGCCAATCTGTGCCAGCAGCGGCAAAAAGATCCCCGTGGAATTGAACTGGCTGAAATATTGTCTCAGTCACCAAGTATTATGGGGTCCTGGGAGGTCTCTGAGCTTACTGGTTTTCTGGCAGATGTTTCATGACCCAACTAGATAACGTCATCAGTGCACCGAAGGCGTTACCAACGTAGAAAACGAAACGTTTCAAGGAAACTACTAAGCTATGAGACCACCAAGCACCCCAGAGTTCAACCCTCGGCTATATACGCAGGATACATACAATGAAATTCACATAGAGACCAGACCCAATACATGCACACACATGACAATCCCCAAACAACCCCCCCCCCCGCCCACCAAAATTCCACGCGTCCTAAAAACACACAAGCACCCCCACAACAGACCAATAATACTGTCCAACAGCTCAGTGATGGTTGGTCCTTAAGTTCATTGTTAAGCGCAATTATAGCTCTGGAACAAAAAACTGTTCAGGAAACGTGTGGTCCGAGTTTGAATTGTTCATATCTTCTGCCAGAAGGCAGCAGTTCACAAAGATTGTGAGCAGGATGGGTAGAGTCACTGAGACTGTTGTGCAACTTCTTCAAACTTCCTCAAAGGGCGAGATGCGAAGATGTCATCCAGGGCTGGTAGCTGGAGCCCAATGATCTTCTGGGCAGTTTGCGTCTGTAGTCTAGAAATTTGAAATGTAAATAATCCACCGGTCAGCCTGCTGAGGTTTGGCCCCTATGGGCATTTCGTGCTTTCTGACTGAGCTGGCTTGTTCCAAAAGAGCAGAGGGGATATAAAATGAGGATCTGATTCTTTTCCTTCTGTCTTGACCAGATACCTTCACCTCTTCGGCCATCACTACCTCCAGCCTGACATCCAGTGCCTCTTTGCCAGGGGCCATCGAGAATTGTCCCCAGGTGAGAAAGGGATGAGGTGGGGCAGGACATCCGAGCTGACTAAGGGTAGCCAGTGTTTTCCCCTCAGTTCTGCGTGACTCCGCATGAGTTTTCCATCCTTTATTTATTGCAGTATTTTTCAACCTCGGCCAGTTGACTTCATCTCCCAGGATTCCTCAGGGTCTGGCCTCTCTAGAGAACAGGCTCTATGGTTGCTGGAGCTCAGTGGCTCAGTTTGGTCAATCCGGGTAGATTTAAGGGTAGATTGCAGGAGTGATAAATACAATTTTATGTCATTTTATCCTCTGATTTATATATTTATGTATCAAATTATTATATTTTATCCTATGTTTTATATATTTATGTATCAGATTATTGTATTTTATCCTATAGCTGTGGTATTTTACCTTACTCTCATTTTAAATTATTTAGAATTGTATTGGTAATTGTGTTTGAACCTATATGCTGATATGGCCTATAGGCTAATAATCAATCAATACATACATACATACATACATACATACATACATACATATAAATATATATATAATATTTTAAGGTAATGTTTCTCAAACGTGAGCACTTTAAGAGGGGTGGACTTCAATTCCCAGAATTCTGCTGGCCAGGGAATTCTGGGAGTTGAAGGTCCACCCCTTTTAAAGAGCTGAAGGTTGAGGAACACGGGTGAATTGCACTTTTGTTACCCCTGAGTGTATCATAATTCATATTCTCCAACGGGACACCTCCATAGCCCAGAGTCATCCATCCTGCTCTCCAGTTAGAATTTTGCGCGGCAGAAACTTCGGTCGCTTAGTTACTATCTTTGAAAACATTTATGGAATGCACTTTCGGTTTCCAACCTGCCGCACTGCTCCCCCTTTCTCCCTTTCTGTTGGCCGCTCTAAAAAGACCATAGGAATATTTTATGAGTTGACAGCATTGATATTTATATCTATTGGATCCTTAACAGGCCGCCTTTCTCTTTTCAGGCCCCGAGCCTCTCCTCGGCCTCTTTACGCAGCCCACTTCCGACGGTGAACCTGGGAGAAGAGCTGGTGCCCCCTCCGGGGCCTGACTCCATCCTCTCCGCTGACCAGTGCCTGGGCCTGAAGAACGAGGACCTCTCCTGCCTGCAGACCGCCGGCTTCCCCTCCGACCTACCCCTGAGCGGCAGCCAGCCCCACTTCCTGCCTCGCTTCCCGACTCTGGGGCTGCCTCTCCAGGCGGAGGTCCCGTCCCAACCGCCGCAGCAGAGCCTTCTCTCCTTGAACCCGGAGCTGGCCCTGCAGGTGCCGCTCTTCCCTCCGGCTGAGGCAGCTCCGAAATTCTGTCCCAGCAAGCCTTCGGTCATCACCCACACCGCCTCAGCCACCCCCACGCAGAACGTGCCAGCCACCACCTTCAGCCACGGCCCGGCGGGACTCTTGGCCCCCCAGCAACCCGGTCCTGGGGGGCCATGCACGATGGCCACTCTCCAGGCGATGGTGGTCCACCCGCAAACTGTTCTGCAAGCGCTGACGCCCTTCGTCCTGCCCGTGGCGGGCCCTGGGCTGCGGGCCAGGAAGCCCCAGCAGATTGCGCCCGCCCCCACGGAGCCCGTGCCTTTGATGTTGAATAGTGCCTTCCTTTCCACAGGTGAGGAGGGGCTGTGGGCTTGGTGGGGCTGCTCCTGGCCCCCTGCAGGTGGTCTCAGGGCTGTGGCACTGAACCCCAATTAAATCACGAGTCTCGAGCCAAACTTCCAAAACTTCCAAAGGATTTATTGGGAGTAAACATGCCGGCATTGCCTGGGTGTATCCTAATTCATATTCTCCAATGGGACACATACATAGCCCAGAGTCATCAATCACGCTCTCCAGTTAGAATTTTGCGCGGCAGAAACTTCAGTCGTCTAGTTACTATCTTTGAAAACATTTATGGAATGCAGTTTTGGTTTGCAAGCTGCCGCACTGCTCCCCCTTTCTCCCTTTCTGTTGGCCACTCTAAAAAGACCATAGGAATATTTTATGAGTTGACAGCTAGACCACAATTTCTATTACCAGGGGAGACCTTTGTTAAGTGAATCCTGCCCTGCTTTATGGCGGTTATTAAGTGAGTCACGGTTAAAAGAGAAATAGTCTTTTAGCTCCTGAGCACGTACAAAGGGACTGTGAATTGAATTCTGCATTCTTTCTTGTCATTGTACGTATATACACAGTATACACACAACGAAATTCAAATTCGCGTATTGAGCGCAGTAGCCACAGTTAATACAAGCAGGTCCTGGACTTGATGACCACAGTTCAGCCCAAAGCTTCCGTTGCAAAGCAAGACGCAAAATTTCTCTTGCTAAAGCAAGGCGGTTGTTCCGTGGGTTTTGCTGCATTTTACAACCTTCCTTGCCACTGTCGTTAAGTGAATCAGTGCAGTTCAGTTAGTCACACGGTTCCTAAGAGGAATCTGGCAAGCCTCTGAATTTCCGATCCGACCCTGGGGATACTAACAACGGTCGCAGGGGTGAAAAACGACCCTAAGTCAGTTTTTTTTTTTTCCGTAACTTCCGACGGCCACTAAATGAAGCGTTGTGGGTGTTGGGACTGATTTCATACTTCAGGGAAGAGAGATTGGTCCTTTTTCTGCCACTTTTCGCTCTGCAGGAAAAGGCAGGCTAGATAAGCAGCGATTAAATCAAATCTCTCGTGCCGCTGTGGCTTAGCTGACGAGCTCTGTGTGTGTGTGTGTCTGTGTGTCGTTGTCGTTTCTTCTCTTCCCAAGTCCAAGACTGCCAGCCGTCCAGACAGGCCTCTCCCCACCCGTCCGAGCAGGGCCTCGGCCCTCCGTCCCCACAGAGCAGCAGCCGGTCCAGGAAAGGAACCCCTGAGCCTCAGGTGTTCCTCTTCAAGGTGAGCTGAAATCTTTGTCGTCGTTAGTTGCGAAGTTGTGTCTGTCCGACCCATCGCGACCCCCTGGATCCTGTTCCTCCGGGCCTTCCTGTCCTCTACCGTCCTCCGGAGTCCACTGAAGCTCACGCCGGCTGCTTCAGGGACCCCATCCAGCCCCCTCTGTTCCGACCAAGGCTTCCTGAGGTGCCATAATTAAGCACACGCTTAGTCCAAGTGACTCTTGTTTTATTTCAACGCTGGGGACGCGTCCAACGTTTCAGCACCGTCCCTTTCCTTCCCGGGAGCGAGGATCTCTGGATTTCTTGGCTGCCCTCCCCGTCTACGGTGATCTTGGAGCCCAGGAAAATAAAACCTGTCCCTCCCTCTCTTTCTTCAACCATCTATTCGCCAGGAATTGAGAAGGCTGCGTGCCATGACCTTAAGTTTTCTTAATGTTGAGCTTCAGGCCAACTTTTGCACTCTCCTCTTCCCTTTCTGGTGGCAGAAGGTTCCGAAGGTTTTAGATTCTAAAGATCGGGGAATGGAGACTAAAGGAAAGTCAAGGACTGCTTTGAAATGAAACGAAAGTCAAGACAGATGGGTGGGAGGAAAGGGAAGCCCAGCTGTGGAATTCTGGGAGTTGAAGTCCACCTGTCTTAACCAGGTTAAAGTAACGTAATGGAGTGGGGGATTTTGTTTTAATGGACACAGAGTCGCAGAATGAAGCATATCTCGGCCGAGCAGAAGCGGAGGTGTAATATCAAGATTGGCTTTGGCACCCTCAACAGCCTGGTCTCCCCAAACTCTAAATCGGTAGGTCAGTTCTTGTGGGGCAAGGGGTGGAATTCCCAAAAAGTTTTCCTTTCCTTTCCTTCCCTTCCCTTCCCTTCATATCTGCCAGGCATTGCATCCTTCAAACAAAGGTCTGTGTTGGGAAGAGCTGCTTCCAAATACCAGCCAAAATGAAGATTTTATGGGGTGTTGACTTCCTCCCTCCCTCCCTTCTATCCATCCACCCTCTCCTTGTTCTTATTCCTTCCTTCTGTCCATCCACCCACCCATCCTCCCCTTCGTTTCCTTCCTTCCTCCTCCTTTTCCTCCCACTCTTTCCTTCTCCTTTCCCCTGAACGATTTCAGGCCCAGGGTGGTATCCTTCCCCCCTGCCCCTCCCTCCACCCCACCCCTGAGCTCGGTCTGGACCCTCTTTTTCGGTGGCCCCCGCAGATCAGCCACGCCCTGACCCTCCAAAAGACGGTGGAGTACATTGGCAAGCTGCAGCAGGAACGTTCGCAGCTGCAGGAGGAAGCCAGGCGCCTTCGGGAGGAGGCAGTGGAGCTGGACGCGACCATCAAGTGAGGACTCGGAGTAGCTACGTATATATATAGAGAGAGGGGGGGGTCGGACTAGAAGACCTCTGAGGTCCCTTCCATCTCTGCTATTCTATTCTGAGTCCCTTTTTTCAGTGGCGTTATAACTTTTGAGTGGTCACGTTTGTAAACTGAGGAATTCCCGTGAAGAAATTCCACCTGTTTTTGTCCGCGCGGCCACTGTGACTTTGGGTTTTTCGGTTCTTCCCTCTGGTCCGAAGGTTTTTTCCGGCCTTTTCTCCCCTCCTTCCTTCTCCAGGTCCTGCCACCAACAGTTGCCTGCCACGGGGGTCCCCATCACCAGGCAGCGCTTTGACCAAATGAGGAGCAAGTTCGAAGAGTACGTCCGAAACCGCAGCCAGCAAAACTTGAAGTTCTGGATCGTATCCTGCTTCGGTGTGTGTGGGCGAAACCAGGGGAGACCCAGAGGCCGAACGTGGGAAGAAGAGAACTGGGGTGTAATTTTTGTCGAGGGAGGGGAGAGCCCGTCGAGGTGCCACAGGGGGAAGTGGGAAGGGGAGAGGACTGGTCCTTTTGGAAGGTACACTGCTCCTGAACCTGGAGTCTTTATTGGGCTCTGCCGTGGCGCCCGCCTTGTCAACTTAGCTTTCCTAATGTCCTTTTTTAATCCATTTTTAAAGCTGGCTGGATCCTTGCTGTGGATTTTAAGCCGTGGATTTTACAGCTTTCATTCTGAGAGGCCCGAATACTTTTTTAGAATGGTGGGGGGGGAAATGGGATTCGGAGCAGTTCAGGTTGGATGGGTGGAAGGAAGGAAAGAAGGAAGAAAGGATGAAATGAAAGGGTGGATGTAATGGGTGGAAGGAAGGAAGGATGAAACGGAAGGATGGATGTAATGGAAAGAAGGAAAGGAAGGAAGGAAAAGAAGGAAGGATGAAATGAAAGGATGGATGTAATGGGTGGAAGGAAGGAAAGGAAGGAAGGATGAAATGGAAGGGATGGATGTAATGGGTGGAAGGAAGGAAGGATGAAACGAAAGGATGGATGTAATGGGTGGAAGGAAGGAAGGATGAAATGGAAGGATGGGTGTAATGAAAGGAAGGAAGGATGAAATGGAAGGATGGATGGAAGTAAAGATGACATGGAAGGATGGATAAAATGGATGGATGGAAGAAAGGAAGGATGAAATGGGTGGAACTGGAAAAATAGTAATTTCTATGGACCCTCCCCAGTTTGCGTTCTTGGCTGACAGCGCTCTCCAACTCCCGATAGTTCTGGAGAAGGTTGAGGCGGCCCAGAAACTTCATAAACCAGTAAAGCTGGCAGGAGTTTTTGCCTTGATTTAACCTGCCCCGTTTCCCGGGAGCTTCCCTGCGTTCCAGCCCCTCGACTGACTGCCCGGAAATCCCAACCTCTGTTCTGTTTGCACCTTGACCCCTAGTTTTCCTGCAGTTCAGCGCCATCATTGAGCCTCTGTTTGAAACCTTCAACGAGATGGTGTCCACCACCAGCCTGCAGGAGCTGAACCGGACAGCCTTCTTATGGCTGGACAAGCACTGCTCGCTCCCGGTCCTGAGGCCCAGTAAGTTGAGTTGCTCGCGAGACCTTGTCAGTTGTCTCTCTGGATTGCCGTGGTAATTAACTGGGCCGGTTGGCTTGTTTTGCGTCCTTCTTTCTCCCCAGTGGTTCTGAACAGTCTCCGGCACCTAAGCACTACAACCTCCATTCTCTCCGACCCGTCCCTCTTGGAAGAGCAAGCCAGCCAGGCCTTGGGCAAACTCCACAAAGCGTCTGGAGAAACGTAGGAGAAGATGCTGTCAACCACAGCGGGCCATCCCTGCCTCCATAGAGACCTTTGTCATCTTCTCCAGTCGGGGGCTTCCTCCAGAGGTGTAGGAACCACCTTCGCCGGGCGTTCCTGGCCCACCTGCTGGCTGACAATACAAGGATTCGCTTCCCCATCTCCCCCCACCAAAGTTGAGGGCACCCAGCTGTAGAAGGAGGCCTCGCAAGCTTCCTTGTGTTGACACCACCCTCAGAGACAAGAAGGCATCCAGACGGGGAGGACAGAAAGTTGAGGTTCTCCCAACACCACCTTTGGGTTTGGCCGAATGTGAAAAATGCAACTCAGGGAAACTCCTTCCAGCAATAGATGCCCCCCTTCCACGCAACCTCTCTGAATATATGCAGTAGGAATAAGCTTTCTCTCCATGCTAACCTCCGTTGCAAGGGGCGTGCGGTGGTTTAGAACGCAGCGTTGCGGGCAAAACTCTGCCCACAGCCTGGAGTTCGATCCTGACAAGGCTCAAGGTTGACTCAAGGCCAAGATATCTCCTGGCTTAACTGAGATGGAAGCTGGGATCTGGAGAACGCTGAGCCTGCCAGATGTTGGGCAGAGCAAACACTCTTGAGAATGGGCAGGCAATTTTGGAAAGAGCCTTGGGGACAGAATGGAGGCGGCTAAAGGAAAATTCTCTCTCTGTTCTCCCCCCAAACTCCACCCCAAGACTTGAGGTCTGCAGAAGAAATTCTAGTCAATCGATAGAAGTGGGGTAGAGAGAGAGAGAGAGAGATCTATTTTAATTTAACAATTTTATTTTATTCAAAGGGTTAAAATCCAAAAGAAAAAAAAAAATTGAAGAGCGGCAAAACAAAACTGAACAAAATCGTTGAGGAAAAAAAATGTGAATTAAAAAAAAGGACAAAAACGCATGATTATTATCTCCCGTATTTTTAACCATGATACCTGTAATAGCGATCAATTTTTCCCCCCTCCTCTTAGACAATAATGGTTCATCAGAAACTTGGCAGCAGAAGAGACTGTTTGCTCTTTGACTCAACTCTTGGGCTCTTGAGTCTTGACTCAACTTTGGACTCAGCCCCTTCCCCATAATCCAGGGTCTTGGGGGAGGGTCCCATCTGCCTTAGAAATGCCCAAATGTCTCAGGCTTTATAGTGGAGCTTGTTTCCATGGCTGTACTTTTGCACCCAACAATGCAATTTTTCCCCTTCTTTGGGGAAGAAGAATAATTGGAAAGTGCAGGAGAAGAACAAAAACGCATCGTCAGCTAGAGAACATAAGACAACCAGGTTGAATTCTAGCCAAGATCTCTCGTCCGGGCTCGTCTTCCGGCGGTAGCCATCCCAGTGTCTCTTGGAAGCTCACGAGGAGGACACCTCGTGGGAATGTCCTCTCTTCATATCTCCAGTCTCACTTCTTTGTATGTGTATGTGATCCCTACAAATCTTGGAAAGTGGCCTTCAAAGGAGCAGTTCTGAATTTCCCACCGGGATTGTCCCATCAGAAGTTCTTGAGTTTTGGCTTCAAGTAAGGAAGATGCCCTACGTCAACCACTCCATACGATACGTTCTACCAGCCTTGAGGGATGAACCACAGTGACTTTCCATCCACGGAGTAGAACAAGATCGGTAAACAAATCTTGATAGCACGGAGGGATGCCGTTGACCCAAACTTCTGAACTTCATGGAGGCAGAGATCATCTGGGTTAGATGAGATGGTTCTCTCAAAGCACAATAAAACAGCGGGCTCTGATGTCCTTCAGATCACAACTGTTGAAAAGGGGTATCTTGATTCAAGCTCAGAAATGGCCCTCGGTTGAACCAAAATCCACCCCATCTCCAGGCACCAAGGGAGAACAGTGTTCTACCTTATAACCGGTTCATCTGGACAACTCTACCGCTATCTACAACAGTCTTTCTTGACCTTGGGAGCTTTAAGATGGACGGACTTCCAACTGCCAGATTTCTCCAGTCGGCTATGCCGGCTGTTGAATTCTGGGAGTTAAAGTCCACTAAGCAGCTGGAGAATTCTGGCAGTTGAAGTCCATCCATGCTGGCTGGGGAATTCTGGGAATTGAAAGCTGCATCCAGGTAGCCTTGCCTTGGCTCAACTTCACCTCTTCTCTCTTCTACTACAAACTCCACAGTCATTTTGATCACCTGGAGGGAACAGAAGAGAGGTGATAACTGAGTGTGCTTTGGAACAGCTTTGTAAAGTTATTGCTAATGCAGTTTCAATATCGTTCTGTGGGGGTTTGCGGTTGATTTTAATCTACAACAAGTTAGCCAAAAAAAATGCATTTCTTTTTAGCAATGCAATCAGGATTTTTAGCCTCTGGGGAGATAGTTTTACCTGCATTGTGCCTGAAATCATTGTCTGGACAGTCTGTGCTCCCATCTGCAAGCCAAGAAAAAAGAAAAAAAAAAGATGAAGTTTGTGTAACGAATATATATTTGTTTCTTCCTCGTTTTACCAGTCGACTTTTTGGGGAGGCTGCAGAGTTAAGCCGCTGCCTTGTTATCTACATTTATCATGCATGAAACTTCAATTCTGTGGCAATTGCTTGCGTTTCGATTTTTCGATAACGTCACTGCATTTTTGGTTTTTTTTTTTTTATGAGACAGCAGAAATAAAATGCTATTTTTGAAGAGAAAAGAGTGGTTTTCTTCCAAGCTTTAAACGTAACTTTGTTTTTCCCCCATCAGCTCACCTTAGAATTCTAGTCGATCAGGTTCCGAAGTGTGCAAGGTTTGGAACCCAGCTGCAGAAACATCTGGGGCCATCTTCCATGTAAGCCACCCCCGAGGTGGGAAAGTCGGGGAGCTTTCACACCTGAGCCATTTCCCCTCACACAGTTTTTTTAAAAAACATGGTTTATTGAGTTACAGAGTATTGTAAGAGACAACATAGAAAAGTAATTAGAAAAGCAGTAGGAAGGGGAAAGGGGGAAGAGAAGTGAGGAAAGAAAACGAAGCATTGACTTCCCACTCTCTTGCAGTAAAACAAGGGACTTCAAAACTTGGCCAAGTTTAAGACTTGAGGACTTCAACTCCCAGAATTCCTCCTCCTCCAGTCATGTTAGCTCAGGAACTCTGGGAATTGAAGTCCACAAGTCTTAAACATGCCAAGTTTGAAGAGCCTTGTTTTAAGATATTTGAACTTCAACTCCCAGAATTCTTCAGTCAACATGCTTTAAGATGCGTGGACTTCAACTCCCAGAATTCCTCCTCCAGTCATGTTAGCTCAGGAACTCTGGGAGTTGGAGTCCACAAGTCTTAAACTTGCCAAGTTGGAAGACCCTTGGTTTTAACTGCTTGATTGTTGGCCTAGTACAAGGGTCTTCAAACTTGGCCAAGTTTAAGCCTTGTGGACTTCAACTCCCAGAATCCCTGAGCTAACATGACTGGAGGAGGAGGAATTCTGGGAGTTGAAGCCCAGAAGGCTTAAAGCTGTCAAGTTTGAAGACCCCTGCAGTAAAATAAGGCATTAGCATCAAATCACAGCTTTTTGCTTTTTCGTCATAGTACGAACAAGGCATTTCTGTAAAGATCTATCCGTCTAATCTGTAAAATCTAAAATCAGAGTTTCATTCTTTTCCATTTCGAGCACGAGGTTCAGAAGCGGCTTCCATGTGGAAACAAAAGTATTTCTGTTCTTTTCTTTAAATCAAAATGGTCAATTTCGCCGTTTCCACCAACTCCATCCACTTCAACCATTCTTCCATGGTAGGAATCGAAGGGACCTTCCAATTTTGCGTGTGCAATCGTCTTTGCTACCATCAACATACATAGTAACAAAGTCCCGAATTTTTTCTCCAACATTTTTTTTAAGCCATTTTATTTGGGGGGCCTTCCACCAGGATTCTAAAAGAGAGATTTTGGAGACCCTGTGAACTTTCTCGCATTCATGTGGTAGACAAACACATCCTGTTTAGATCAGCTCAAAGGTTTCAGAAGTCGCTGAGTGACAAGAAGACAACTTAGTGTGGTTCAGATGCGCTGAGCCTGTGAGGTGTGTAACCCTGCCGGCTGCCTAATTTCTCAGCCTTGTAAGATGCACATAAAATCCACGCTTGATGGACCCCCGTGGCATGTTGCAGAGTCTTCTGGTCTTAATTGCCAGGTGGGTTATGAAAATGGCTTGTCCAGAGACCTTGAAAGTTCCTTTTCCTTCTCTGGAGACTTGTAAGTAAACTTGGGCTGGGCGGATAAAATCTTTGAATGAAATTTTTAGGATCTGAAATACACGGGAGATGTAATTTGTAAAACTGGACCCGTTGGCATGATTTTTGACAGCAAGAATGGCATGAGATACCTGTGGGCAGAACTCTACCTCGCCCTCGATTGTGAGTTGCTAAAAGTCACTTATCTGGATGTTCTTCCCTTACGGGTATTCCTTGACTTACGACTGTTGTGGTTCGCTGGCAGCCTGCACAGATGGCAGTGGAATTGGACAGTGGGGAAGAAGGGGGACCAGTCAGGGAGTCTGGAGAGGAGTTGTGTGCTAACTCCAGAGCCTCCGGAGTCTGGGAGCAGCAAGGCAGAAGAACAAAGGGAGCCTGTTCCCAATGCGCATGTGCACAGAGCTGCTAGAAGGCGAGGGCAGCTGAAACAGAAGGGGCAACTCTGGAATAAGGCTGGGAGGTGATTGTCCCTCCCACAAGGGATAAAAGTCAGGCCTAGGTGACAAAACCTTTGCAGGAAGCAAAGTCGTTTGATCGGTTCCGAGTCTTCCTTGAAGCTCTGTGTACTTTGGTTGGTTTTTTTTCTCGTACTTTGGTTGGTTTCTTTTATAGTTAATTGGATACTTCTGTACTGGGCAGCGCTTCACAGGAAAGAAAGGTGGGTGCTTATCTCGAGGGACTGTGTGAGATTCATTCCCGGCTGGGAATGCAAATAATTCCCAGTGTTTGCAATAAAAGAAGACTTGTTTTTAAAATAAGCATGTGCGTAATTACGGTCTCGGAAGCCTTGGTCAGAACATGTTTGTTTAGTGAATGTTCGGAGTGTACAACAGCACTTTGTGTGACTTAATTGTCTCTTTGCAGCTTAGCCACAGAAAATTGGGGCTCCATTACAAGTTTGTAATTTTTATTTTCGCTCATCAAACTTCATGGGGGAGTTAGTAGTGGGTTCCAAGCTTCTGGAATGATTTTCAAGAAGGTGGAATTTAAACCCAGAATCCAATTTGAAATGGTTTGGCATCTTAATCGACGAGAATAACTAAAACCCTGGGAGGCAGAAATAAAATAACTGAAATACTGCATTCAAACTGCAAGAAGGAAGCATTCTGTTTTTGCATAGAAGTTTATTTATTACATATAGATACTGTTTTTGCTTTTAAGACATGATTCACTTAGAAGTAACACATGTTAATTGAAAACAGTAAAGTTAATCTTCAGTAGCACCTTAACAGCATTCCTTAAATTAAAATACTCCCACTCAAGAATACATTCCTTCAGTTGATCATCCAAACATTTTAAATAGATTTAAATAGAATAAAATAACTG